GACTCACCAATATCACTTACCAGAAATAATCGTTATTAACTTGAAAAAAATATATCTATTCTTACATATTATACATATATGTATGCATACACATATTATTAAGTTATATGTGTATGTACATTATATACATTGATATATTTTATATTACATATATGCTGATATAGTATAATATATAAGGATACGGATATATATTTGTGTTGTATATATGTATATGTAAGAATACATTTAATTTATGTATGTATATATACACATTATATATGGTTATATATATTTATTGTATAAGGGAAGTATATTTTTTAAAGTTCATTATTATGTACCTTTATGTTTTCATCTAAAGCTATATTTTGGATTTCTTTCTATTCTTCATAATTTCTACAAAGAATTATACAAAGTGTCCTTGTATGGATATAACATAATATGGGTTGCTACCCTTTAAAAAAATTTTTTTTTCTATTTACAGAAGTCATTTATGTTCATTGTTGAAAATTTGGTAAATATAGGCAAGAATGATAAAGAGTAAAATTAATCCATGATGGTTATTATACTGTAGGACTACCTGATAGGGCTGCCCAGTGGAAAGCCGCCTCCGAGAAGACCAACTGTCCAGCCCTGAGGAGAGAGAATTCGTAAAGAGAGCCCATCTCAAATGGCTCAGACGGGACCCTGAAATAACACTCCACCTCTGAAATCGTACAAACTGTATGAGTGACAAATGTCAAAAAATGTTATTAAAAAGCATGTAAGGGGATTGAGTATTCCTTTGGTTTAATCAGTAATGAATTCCCTCCATATTACTTGAGGTGCTGGCTTGGATTTTTCAAAGAAATCTCGCATGGTACTCTAGTTATTAACGCCAGCCTCAAAAACCCTTGGGCTTTCCTTACTGACAGGAGTGTTCTTGTGCTATGGAAGCAACTCCTGGAGGTCCCTAGATTGCTTCAGGGTGGGGCTGATCACGAAAGATCAACCACATTATTAGAAGATTAAGACTTTGGGTAGCGTGATTGAGCTCACCATTCCTGCCTAGGTAGTGAAACCCCAATAAAACTCTGGATAGTGGGCCCTTTACTCACATTGCATCTCCACAACAGACCCCAAAATCATGTGTAAGTTTTGCCTTATTTCTGGGATGTTTAATATGGGTGCTTTATTAAATTTCTATAATAAGACAATTTCTGTGTAACTAACTACATAACATTATCCTTCCTGTTAGTTTTAATAAGTACAACGGGAATTAGTTGACCTAGATTATTCTAGTCCTCTGCTATTAACAAGCCTTGTAATCTGTGTAAATTACTTAACTTACCCATGCCTTAGGTTTTTCGTTCATAATAAAGGGGGTTCATACTGTGAAAACTGAAGAACAAAATGAAGTATGTGGAAAGTGCTTTGAAATATTAAAAAGTCCTCCTCATCACCACCATCATCATGAGTCTCCACATTAATCCAGTGTTGACTCATTGTGACGGATCTCAGGACATCACAACTCTCTGTTATTTGTATTTGTATTAATTTATTTCTCAATTTACATACATCTAAGGTTAGTGACTGCTTACTCTGTGCTGGGTAATTTGTTGTGGAATTCCCTTTATAATTTTATCTTACTCATATTTCACAATAGACCTGGAAAATAGACGCTCTTCTGTTCTCGTTTAATAGATAAGGAAAATGGAGTTTAGCACAGAGAGAAGTCAACCTCTCAAGGATATCTAACCAGTGAGTGATGGATGTCAAGGCTGCTGCCTCAAGAGCCCTTGTCCTTGGCCACACTCCTCCCACCTGCCAGCTTATGGTCCAACACACCAGATCGCTGCTCTTATAAAATGTTCAAGGAGGACAAAGGAAAACAAGCTGGTCAGCCACTCTATTCTGATGCGCTTCATTTTTCATGTTTGTTCTAGCAATAACATATTATTTCCAATAACATTGGTATTATGTTTTGCTCAAGCACTTGGAAGATGATTTTTAAGGAGCTTTTCTTTAAGGAGCACTGCTAATCATGTTGGTTATCAAATACCTTTTGCTCAGAGCATCAAAATCATGCTTGATTGCATTAATTTTTAATTCATTGCATAGATTATATAATAGTTAATTAGCTCCTACTATTTCTGAATTTCCCTGGAGGAACTACTTTCTGTTATTTTCATGGTACAGACTGTGTTGAATAGAAATTCGATCGTCTGCTTAGTGAGCAATTCATATGCTACCAGCAAAATAAAAATCTGTAAATCTTATACCTATGTGATCTCAGAAATTGCCCTTGATTTGTGAAGGAAATTATATCATCTGAAATTGTTTATTATAAACATTTGTTTTGGCTTGTATGTCAATGCACTTTCAAATGTAATAGAGCAATTTTAAAAGAGAATTATATTTTCCATGTGGTGGCTAAGCATATAGGGGCCTGGGGAGAGGTGATTTCAATAGATCCACGTATATAATGTTTGCATTATTTTGTAGCAGGGTCATTTGAAATAATAGTACCTGGCCCACCAACCTTCCCACCCCAATTATCAGAAGTGGGAAAGAGGATTTAAAAGACATTAAGAAGATGAGTTGTTTGCTAGGGCCCTGTATTAGTTCAGATAATGCAAGTTTCTGTACAAAAACCCCTCCAAAGCCAGAGGTTCACAACAATAGAAGTTTAATTTTTACGGATGTGTGTTGAGTAGGTGGCTTTTCACATAGCGATTAAAGATCTAGGCTCATTCCATCTTGTGGATCCACTCTCTTGTAAGGCCATAAAGTCCTTCATTTCCAGCCAGAATAAACAATAGTATTTAGCTTCAGACTGGGTCACACCACCAGCTTTCCTGGTCCTCCAGCTTGCAGATGGCATATGTTGGGACTTCCTTGACCTCCACAGTCACACGAGCCAATTCTCACAACAAATCTCCTCGTATGTCTGGGTATGTCCCATGGGTTCTGTTTCTCCGGGACACCAGAGACTGGTTTCCCTGACCAACACACAGACAGTAGTTGGGGGGATACTGCCAACTCTGATACTCTCCTTTTTCTCAACTTCCTTGCTACCCAACTCCTTCAGACCCACCTTTTTCTGTTTTATTTTTTTTGTTTTGTTTTTTTGAGACAGAGTCTCACTTGTTGCCCAGGCTAGAGTGAGTGCCGTGGCATCAGCCTAGCTCACAGCAACCTCAAACTCCTGGGCTCAAGCAATCCTCCTGCCTCAGCCTCCCGAGTAGCTGGGACTACAGGCATGTGCTACCATGCCCGGCTAATTTTATATATATATATTAGTTGGCCAATTAATTTCTTTCTATTTATAGTAGAGACGGGGTCTCGCTCTTGCTCAGGCTGGTTTTGAACTCCTGACCTCCAGCAATCCGCCTGCCTAGGCCTCCCAGAGTGCTAGGATTACAGGCGTGAGCCACCACGCCCGGCTATGTTTTGTTTTTTTGTTAACACAGTCCTGCCATATTTAGCAGGTGGCATGCAGCACTGATTCAGGGCAGGGGTCACGAGCACTGCTCTGAAGCAAGCACTAGTTCCACTGCCCTTCACCTCCTCCCCAGCGAAGACTTGCCACACGCTGCGCTCACTTCCCGTAGCTGGGTAGGTACGGGCCATGCATTAGAACTAAGTAGATTCATCACAGCTATAGACTGAATGTTCCTGTCCCCATAAAATTCATATGCTGGAATTCTAACCCTCAAAGTGATGATAATTAGGAGGTGGAACCTCTGGGAGTTGATTAGTTCCCTGGGATTAGTGTCCTAATAAAACAGACCCTGGAGAGCTCCCTCACCCCTTCCACCATGTGAGGACACAACAAGAAGACGCCATCTGTGAACCAGGGAAGGGGCCCTCACCAGACACTGAATCTGCTGGCACCTTGATCTTGGACTTCCCAGTCTCTAGTAATGTGAGAAATGCTTTTCTGTTATTTATAAGCCACCCAGTCTATGGTATTTTGCTATAGCAGCCTGAAGAGATTAAGACAATCAGCAAAACAATTCTAAAAGAGACAGAGAAGATACCAGACATCTGCCAATAAACTTTTAATTGCATTTATGTTGTATATACCGTGTTATGAAAAGCTGTAAATGCTGTATACTCACAATATTTATAAATGTGTAGCATGAGCCTGTTTGGTACTTGATCATTAAGTTTCCCATTTCTAGGACTACATTCCCACTCCTCAATGATAACATCAGCGTGTGCCGTTCATTTGCAACAGGTGCATTTTCAATTGTTGTGGCAACGTGTACAGCTCTTGACTGGGGAAAGAACCGAGCGGCACACAAAGAGTCGGAGAACAGTTTTTTATTCTTCCGGCAGGCTCGACCCAGCGAGTGTTACAGCTCTTTCATGTCCTCTGATTTTCTGACCCCCCTTCCTTGTTCTCCTCCTGCTTTTATACCCTTGATAGGGCTCAAAAAGTATCCAATCAACTACAAGCTTTAACAGCCAATCAACAACAGTGGGATTCAATAATTACCCAATCAGGATCATGCAAGCAGCGCTGGCCAGAAACAGGTGTGGGCACTCGGGGCCCCTGGCGTCTCTCCGTGTCACAATAGCCCATAGACGTTGGGGCTCTCTGTCTCTTTAACAGGAACTTGTGTACCCCTACTGTGACACAGATTTCTTTTTAAATAAATCCCCTCACTGTTGCCCACTCTCACCCCCACTCTCAACTAACTACAGGAGACATTCAGTAATGATTTGTTGTCACCATTAATGATGATTTATTGCAACATTTAGTAAGGTATTCTATGCCCAAGGAAAAAAAATACTCTATGAAGCCTGCTAATGGGAAATTAAGCAGTTTTGTGGAAAATGGTTAAATCAAGAAAGTCATTTTTCATGAAGTGAGTGCCCTGGCACTGGGCACAGATCTGGGATGCCCCTGGGAGAGTGGGTGGCTTCCCGGGTGTGTATTTTGAGAGAAATCAAAAGACGCAGCTGCCCCATCTCGTTGAGCTCTGATTAAGCAGCTCTCAGTGCCTGAAATCTGCTCCACTAAGTCCAGCCCTAACTAAGCTAAACGTTTGTATTGTGAGCCTTCTGCTCACTGGATAATAATGGGCAGATCTAACTAACCCCTGGAGGTCCAGCAGAGAGGAAGGGCTGAGATCACAGGTGCAACCATTTTCAATACTAGAGGTCTGGAGAGGAGGAATGCATTGGGCTGTCAGGACCTGATCCAGTTCATTCGGCCAGTCCAGTTTCGCAGCTCCCCCTGGCAAATGTGGTCATCCTCCAGCAATGGGTGGAAGTTGGGGGGATTTAAATATCCCTTCCCTGATAACATTGTTTTCAGACAGTAGATTACGATAAGAGCAAATATTTAATCAGATGATGCTACACGTACAAACATTTTTATCAAGCAGCCACAGAAACCTCAGACAACCTTTCTTGTAAGCCTGGCAAAGCTGCTCTCTGTTTTCAGGCTCCCCGGTAGGCACGTGGCATAAATCATTTGCTCTGAGGACAAGGTGACAATCTTCTGTGGCAGAGTCCTCTTAGAAGTGGGGGTGGGGGGGCTCTGACCAACAGGAGCAACAGGAATTTTTTTGTTTGGTTTGGTTTTGAGACAGAGTCTCACTCTGTCACGCAGGCTAGAGTGCAGTGGTGTCATCATAGCTCACTGCAACCTCAACTCCCTGCCACCTGTCCCAGGGTCAAATGATCCTCCTACCTCAGCCTCCCAAGTAGCTGGCCTACAGGTGTGCACCACCATGCCCAGCTAATGTTTTCTTTTTTTTTGTAGAGACAGTGTCTCAC